TGTTCCCAACAGAACCTATTGGCAAGTCGATGGGATCAGTGAAGTTAGCTGCTGCGCAGGGGGGAAGGGGGAGGGACGGGCATTGGTACAACCAAACTCAGATGCCTTATCTACCTTAAGGCTTTAGCCTCACTTTTGAACAAATGTTGGAATAATAGAGTGATGAAAATTCGCACAGTCATGGTGAGCGGTATTATCAGAAACGAGCACTGATTTGTGCAAATAGAGCCTTGAAGTCTGTGGTTGGTGTGCCAGTTCCCTCAGGTTTCGAGGCCAGATCAAGTGCCTTAAATTTAGCTTCCTCATACTCCAGTGCCTGCCAACGCAAAAATTGCCACGGCGGTTTTTGTTCAGAAGATAAGCAAACAGAGAGCAAAGCTATAGGGAAAGAGTTGTGGACGTGAAACATTGAAGCTGACCAAAGAAGCAGCAAAACATCTAAGACCAAAGCCTAATGAGTAATATACCTGAATGCAAACTTCTGCAACATCAGCCCTGGCAATGGTTCTTGTTTCTGTCTGGAGAAGTTCATCGTCCTTTCCAACAAGTAGTTCCCTAATACCACCTTCTTTATCTTGTAATCCTCCAGCCCTGAACAAAGAAGAGAAATGAAATGATGATCAAACAGTAAATTTAAACCAAAGAGCATAACATGGAGATCATTTAACCTGAATAGTTAGACAGTGTCTGGACTGACATTAACAATAATAGCAGGAACCTCAAAATAAATTTAGTGCTGTCTGAAGAAGATATAAGTTTGCTTTTTCGAGTACAACAACGAGGTAACTACTGAAGTTGATTAAGATTTGGAGTTATTTCCTCATAAGCTTTGCTTATCTACTCCGTTTCTATTTTGAGTCCCACTGAGAGAGGGTTTTTTCTTTATCTACTTAAAAAGGACAAAGGACAGCCGGATGCACTAAGCTCCCGCTATGCGGGGGGTCCGGGGAAAGGCCAGACCACAAGTGTTTATAATACGCAGCCTTGCCCTGCATTTCTGCAAGGGCTGTTTCTACGGCTTGAACCCGTGACCTCCTGGTCACATGACAACAACTTTACTAGTTACGCCAATGCTCCCCTTCCTTTTCTTTATATACTTGTGACATAGAATCCACGAACAAGTGGAAGCATGATTTAAATGTTTCTTGTTGACAACTCTCGTGAAAACTAAAACGTTTTAACAACTTTCTCAGGTTTGTGATAGTTTATGTAGTTCTCTTATCTTTGAAATTCCGCTTTCCAATATTCTACACATGATAGTATTTAAATTAGGTAAGTCTAATTCAATTTAGTTCTAGTTCGATTCCCTATGACTTACTCCCTCTGTTCCAGTTTATGTGAACCGATTCTCTTTTTACCAAAAAGATGATCTCTTTCTAAATGTAGAAAAAATTTAATTTAAACTTCCAAATCTACCCTTAATAGGAAGCATCTATGGCCACACAAACATTTCGGCATGTTCAACAATCAACACCACAAGTTTCAAAAGATTTATAACCACACACATGTTATGACTTGTTTAGGACCACAAATTCTAAAAGTCTTCATTTCTTTTTTAAACTTTGTACTCAATCAAATAGATCCACACAAATTGGAACGGAGGGAGTATTACTTTTTATGCAAGCTAAGTCTTACCACCTATATAATGGTCTAAGTTGCTTTGACTCGGATGTGGGTGTCCGATACGGGTGCGGATCTAAAAGTTAGATCCTTCATGATTTAAATTCTAAGATTCGAGGGTACGATCCAGGTATGAATACAGTGAAGGGATTCGTCTAAAAATAATTTAAATATTTAAAATTAGAGTTATACAAATATGTTTATGAGACATTATGTGAAAAACTTACAAGGAATTCCAACAAAGAGAAAATATTGATCAAGAGTAGAATCCGAGAAGGAGATAAAAGGAAAAGAAGTGACATAAAAATATAACGCATTCTATTTTCTTCAATTTCACCCTAGCTTTTGTTTTGGTTTCAGAAATCATTGTATATGTTCCGAATTTCTCCGTCGATATTGGTTAAAGGACCCAAAATCAGTTGACCGGTACCGATATGGATCCCACACCCATGCTGTGTCGCCATAAGTGCGACACTGGAAGTGAAGAGTCCGAGCAACTTAGATAATGGTTATGCTTCACTAGATTCATTGAAAGAGTTGAGTTATGTGACTTGGATAGGGATTTCCAACATTTGGTGAGGGTTAAAGTTCTTGTTCCCCTTGCCCTTCTCCAATCTCCAACACCCCCACCACACCCAATGGTGAAGCCAGACATTTTCGCAAGGGAGTTTAAATGTGAAATAATTAAAAAATATTCGACAAAGGGTGTTTAATATATGTTCTGTACCTCTAAAACCTAATATTTTACCTATATACGCAGTGCAATTTTCCGACAAAGGGTGGTCAATTGACCACTCTAACTAAAGTGCTACTTCGCCCCTGCCCCCACCCACCCACACATTCACCAAAAAAATATATGAAAATAGCTATGGCCGGATCCTCCATCAACTTAGTCTAATGGAGTATCCCAAAACTACTACTTACCCTAATTTGCTTCATTTATCTGTTTTGACAATATTCATTAGAAATCCCATTATCAAGACAGGCAATTCTTTACATATCCTATAAAATTAAACCCTTCATTCTGGAATCTTCTATAAGACTTCCCATACTAATAGGATAATGCTTTTAACTTAAGGATCACCAATCGAGGTTTAGATATTTTTTTAGATTAGAAATTCAGTATCATCTAACCATATCCAACCTTACACTAAATAGTACACCAAATCCTATTTTGGTGCTCCAACCCAACACCATTTCTTACACCATCTTGGTGTGTGAATAGCATTACACCAAATTTGGTGTAACACTGTTCATCAACACCATTACTATTCATAGATATTTTATTATTATATAACACTTTTAATTTAACATATTATAAATTTTACTTTTTTCATTTAGGTCCCTAATATATCTAATTATTTTTTATGTAATATCTTTATAATATTAATTTTACATCTTAATTTTGGTGCATAATTTTTATAAATTAGTTTTCGTATATATTCTTTTTATATAAAATTGTAAGTTAATAGTATTATAAGTTATAATTGTATAAAAAATATAGCCATCACAAATATAAAAAGTGCAACTATAATATGTCGTTAATAAATAACACAATGTTCATTAAATAACATAATATAAATATTTAATAAATTAGCGACTGACATACATTAAATAACATAATAATTTAGAAAATTATTAACAATAATTTAGTACTCTGGTAGGTTGATTCTACATCCACCAATATCATTAAAATATTGAGCGTATGGGACAGATGATTGTTGTGACCGTTGAAATTGCTGACTTCTTTTATCCATTATTCGTTTTTGTTTTTGTCGAATAAATTCACGAATATTTATATTACCAATAGAATCTAAACTCGAGAGATTGCACCGATCTTCTGTTGCGATACTCCCAACACTCATCATTTGCATTATTGTATGCTTCTTCCACTCGATCCCAAAAATATGTACACACGTTATTGGATCTTGAGAAACATCTAAATAAACTTGGCATAATAGCGTATTTTCATTGGTAGAGTATCCTATAGATCGAGTGGACATTTTTTGCAAGTGATTAGAGGAAAAATGGATTATATGGTTAAAGAAAAACAAAAGCCAACTTCGTATGAATGTGTATGTTGGCACTTTAATATATATATATATAAAAGTAGAGCCAAAAATTATCATAATACATACTTAGATTTCATCTTGATCTCAACCGTTGGAAGGATTTCATCCTAATCTTAACCGTCGGATGGATTTCATCCTTATCTCAAATTTATCTTTAGGTAAAATATCTCTACACATTCTTCAATGTGTAGAGATAAAGTAGACAAAATTATGACCGGATAATAATAGAATAGATTTTATCTTGATCTCAATCGTCGGATGAATTTTATCCTTATCTCAAATTTTATCTTTACGTAAAATATATCTACACATTATTTAGAAAAATAACTCAGAATTTCCAATTCATTTCAAAATATGGCATGCATATTTTGGTATGCCCAGCACCAATAATGACATTAATGTTTGAGATGCGTCTCCAACCTTAAGCACTACTTCCTCCGTTCCAGTTTATGTGAACCTATTTCCTTTTTGGTCCGTTCCAAAAAGAATGACCCATTTCTAAATTTGGAAACAATGTAGCTTAAACTTTCAATTCTACCCTTTGTGAGAAGCTTTTATAACCACACAAATACTCTGGGCCCTTTTTGACTTGTTTAGGACCCCAAAAGTCTTCATTTTTTCGTGCCCAGTCAAACAGGTTCACATAAATTGGAACGGGGGAGTATTTTTTACACCAAAATGGTGGAAATTAACTCCAACCCATTACACTATTTTTTTACACCAAAAAAGAATCTCTTTTATATTCTTCTCTCTTCTATATTATATTATTGTCATTTATTTAAATTTATTTTTTATTTCATAAAACAAATCCCTTCTTTTTTTCTTTTTACATATTCATCCCATATAATTCATATTCCTTTCTTATATAACCATTTAATATAATTAAATAAATATTACATTATAGTAAAATTTATTTAAATTTCACATAAATATTCAACTACCAGGAGTAGTATATTGCTCCCATAAATGCTCTATTAATGCATTATAAAGTGCAAAATGAGCATCTTTGTCCTTAATTTTTTTTATGTCGAACTAAAAATTGTTCAAATCGGTAATTTTCATCAACTACTATTTCTACTAAAGGAGTTGGACCTTCCCAAGCATCTTGAATAGGTGCATTAAGATCACGCTTATTCTCGATTATCATGTTGTGCAGTATAATACATGTAGTTAATATATCATGTAGCACTTCTTTTCTCCAAAGACATGACGGCCCTACAATAATTGCAAAACTCCGAATGCACATTCAACATCTTGTCGACATGATTCTTGTTTCATCGTGAAATATTTCTTCTTTTGAGAATGTGGCTCAGGAATAGTTTGCACATAGCAGACCATTTTGGATATATACTGTCAACTAAATAATAACCCACATCATATTCTTTTCCTTTAACAACATAATGGGCGGGAGGAGCAATACCTTTAGCAAGCTTGGAAGACAAATGTGATGAGTCTAAAACATTAATATCATTATTGGTGTCGGGCCTACCAAAATATGCCTCCCATATCCAAAGATCATAACCAGTTACAACTTCAAGAATAATTGTTGGGGATCCGCTACGACCTGCATATTGTCCAGCCCATGTTGTTGGACAATTTTTCCATCTCCAATGCATGCAATCTAGACTTCCTAGCATTCTTGGAAAACCACGTTGTTCACCGATGCAAAGAAGCATTGCAACATCGTTAATTGTTGGTGATCTCAAATACTGCTCGCCAAAAACCTCTACGATAGCTCAACAAAACCTCTTAATGCTTTGTAGTTGACTCTTCAATTTTCACATATTTGTCAGTGGCATCCGCTAGCAAACCGTATACCTACATTCTAAACATAGATGTGATTTTTTGTAGAGTAGCTAATCCAAATCTACCAATCGCATCAGCACGTTGTTCGAAGTTATCATGAGCTTTAATTGCATCAACAATATTAAGGAACAAATTCCGGGACATCCGATCTCGACAATGAAACATACCGTCATTAAAGCGTGGATTATCTGAAAAATAATCGAGAAATATATTATCAGCTACTTCACGATCTCGATTATTACCAAATGACCTGGAACGGAGCCAACTCTGAAAACTTCATTATTTTAATATTCTTGCAAATGCTGCAACATATAGTTCTTCATGCGAATATTTTGCAAGATAACTTGATGTCATTCTACAATAGTATCATCAAAATTTAAAGATGATGATGATGAAGAGGAATTTTCATCATTATTATTAGATAAACCTCCAGTATAGGAATTCATTTTCAGAAGACAAATAAGAATATTTGACTTGATTTTGAAATGAATTGGAATCTTGAGTTATTTTCCTAAATGATATTCATTTTTATAGATTGAAGTATGTGCAGAGATATTTTACCAAAAGATAAATTTGAGATAAGGATGAAATCCATCCGACGGTTGAGATCAAGATAAAATCTATCCTATTATTATCCGGTCAATAATTGTGTCTACTTTATCTCTACACATTGAAGAATGTGTAAAGATATTTTACCTAAAGCTAAATTGGAGTTAAGGATGAAATCCATCCGACGGTTGAAATTAGGATGAAATCCATCCAACGGTTGAAATCAAGATGAAATCTAAGTATGTATTATGTCAATTTTTGGCTCTACTTGTATCTATATATATTAAAGTGCCAACATACCCATCTATACGAAGTTGACTTTTGTTTTTCTTTAGACATATAATCCACTTTTCCTCTAATCACTTGCAAAAAATGTCTACTCGATTTAAAAGATACATTACCAAAAGATATGCTATTATGCTAAGTTTATTTAGATATTTCTCAAGATCCAATAACGTGTGTACATCAATCTAGAGATCATTTTTGGAGTCGAGTGGAAGAAGCATAAAATAATGCAAATGATGAGTGTTGGGAGTATCGCAACAAAAGATCGGTGCAATCTTGAATTCAAGTTATTGAGAAGGCTATAAGAAAATTAAATGGTCGTGTACGACAAGTTGAAAATTTGCATCTTAGTGGTGCTTCAGATAAAGATATTGTCAGTATTTATTTTGTAATTACTTATACTTTATTTGTATATATTTACTTATAGTTTATCTTCAATTTTTTTTAAATATTGCAGATTAATCAAGCAAAACGCTTACTTATGCAAGATCCGAACTATAAAAAAAAGTTTTAAATTTGATCATGTGTGGGATATGTTGAATGATTTTGAGAAGTTTAAGGATGTCGATGTTGGAAGAAAAAAAGTTCGAAAGCAAGACTCTTCTTATATATCATCGGCGTCTGAGACTCCTACTCCTGATTCACCTCTAGTATCATCTCCTAACTTATCAACATTTTCACTAAATTTGAATGAGGATGTTGCAGGTGATTCCACATTATTAGAACGACCTATTGGGGCGAAGAAAGCAAAAATGAAGAGAATAATCGATGAAGGTTTTTCATCTGCTATGAAAATGGTCCAATCAGAAAATAATCGGCTTGTTGGTTGGCAAAGTCAAGTGCAGACATGCAACGAGATATGGAGATAAAAGATAGAGCTTTGAAACTAAAAAGAATTTAAAAAAGAAAATAAAATTTAATTGTCAAATTTAAATTCTATTGATGATCCTAATATCCGTGAATTTATTCAACAAGAACAAACGAATAATGGATAAAAGAAGTCAACAATTTCAACAGCCATAACCACAACAATCCTCTGCTCCATACACTCAATATTTTAATGATATTGATGGATCTAGAATGGGCATACCAGAGTACTAAATTATTGTTATAATTTTCTAAATTATTATCTTATTTAATGTATTTTCAATTTTAATTTATGTCTTATTAAATATTTATTTTTATGTTTTTAATGAATATTGTGTTATTTATTAAGAACATATTATATTTTATATTTGCACTTTTCATTTTTGTGATGGTTATATTTTTTTATACAATTATAACTTATAATAAAATTAACTTACAATTTTATATAAGAATAATATATATGAAAATGTAATTTATAAAAATTATACACCGAAATTAAGATGTAAAATTAATATTATAAGATATTACATAAAAAATAATTAGGTATATTAGGGACCTAAATGAAAAAAGTAAAATTTATAATATGTTAAATTAAAAGTGTTATATAATAAAAAATAATAATAAAAAATATTGATGAATAGTAATCGTGTTGATGAGTAGTGTTGCACCAAATTTGGTGTAACACTATTCACACACCAAAATGGTGTTAGGTTGGAGCACCAAAACACCAAATATTACACCAAAATAGGATTTTGTGTAATATTTGTTGGAGATTGTCTAAAGGAGCAGCTTTGGATTAACAAGACCCAAATTCAAAGTGTTTCTATTTCGGTAGGCTCAAATAGATATTTATACAAATATTTAAATTGAACAAACCTTATAATTGTGTATGGAATACCGGAGTCAGCCAGGTATTGTTCAGCCTTTCTCTTCCAGACCTGTAACGTTCATACAAGTTAGTGTGGCAGAACTTTTGGATGAAAACGATTCCAACAAAGAAAGCAGGTCAAAAGGAACTATTTAAGAACCATCAACTAAAACCTGCCAGCAATAAAAATTATTGAATGCCCGTGAAACTACGTTTTTTTCCATAAGCATAACTGAGAAATAGTAGCACCCGCCTAAGATGCAATCAGAGGACTAATTTAGCTAGAAAAGTTCAGGTGAGATGGCCATCAAAATGGCAGAAGAAATACAACTACGCCGAAGTCCCGAAAAAGCTGGGGTAGGCAATATGAATCCTTACCGACCATTTTTCTCCATTTATCAGGCCAAAATAATAGAAGAAATGAAGGAGAAAGCATTCATAAAGGAAAAGAGTCAAGGAACAAACCAATATATTCCCGTTCCCAATACTGTTTAAGGGGTGGTTAGGATTTGTCCCTCCCATTGACCCAACTAGCACGATTTGCTTCACACCAGCAGCTTTAGCTGTAAACATGCATAACGTATGTCTTAGATAAGCAGAGAACGTCGTTTATCCAATGCCAAAAGTGTCAAAGACGATTTGTTACCAGCATCTATTTGGTTCTTTTGGCCAATCCAATCGACCTATAAATACAAAGTCAATAGTTTTTTGTGTCAGACAAAGATAACTAAAAACCTGAGGATATGAGTAGCCATAGCTTTCTATACCTGTTCAGGGTATGCCCCATCCTCAAAATAAAATTCCGGTCTTCCACCTTGAGTTGGATCAAACCCGGGCTTCATTTTTGGCACAGCACTTGTAAGAATAACAAGAGCATCAATACCCTGTATAGCAGGGACAATACTCTCAGTATCCCTGATATCACCAATATAAACATCATCGGCACCACCAATTTTTTGTTTGCTTTCCTCCGTTCTAACCAATCCTCTCGCTGTATATTTCTCTGACCTCTCCTTCAACTTCTTATAAACAATTGATCCTACAATACAAACAACTTGTTAATGAGGGAGCCGTCGAATTGCTCGATCATGTGATGAACAGGAATAGCCAATTTACATCATCTACTAAAGCTCATAGCCACTTGACATGATTGATTCTACCATTAATCATTTACCAAGAAGCATAAGAACAAATAAAGCAAAATTTTAAGAATAGTTGTTGCTTTCGAATACTTCAAAATTCAGTAAACGATCCCTAAGTCATTGTTTGGGAGTTCAACATTTTCAAGTTCAGTCACGCGTTTACTTATTAAACAGCCAATTGAAATGATATGACAAAAAACCAATAGACCAACCAAATTCGGAGTTAGAGCATACAATTTATGAGTCATCTTCACCCTTGGAAACAATTGATGAGTGATCCCAACTCCTAAGAATAAATAAATAGTCCTAAAATACAGCAAAATTGTACATTCATGAAAGCTATAAAGAACCTCCTCAACAGATTTGAGAAGCAATGCTTATAGGACAACAATCCATATATTACTGTTACAGGACTTCAACGCAAAAATAATCTAACTGCTTGGGCTCCTATCTCTTCTTTTAGCATATTCTTTTTTGAAGGAAGAAAAAGGGAAAGACAAAAACAATATGTTCTAGTACAATATTTATCACCAGATTTCCATTCAACAGTTTTTTTATGTCCACCGAATACCTGCTACTTCTCACCATCACAGTATAGGTATGGAGTAACTCGGTCCACCAAGGGTTAGACAGATGGGAAGAAATAACCTATTTTTTTTTTTTGGGTCTCGAATTGGATTTTAACCCGTGGGATTTTAATTTCCATCCACTTAATTGACTAGTAGGCTAAGCCCTTTTATGAATACAATTGTGTAATCATCACGTGCCTTAGTTAGGTCTCCTTATGATCATGCTCATACAAATTTCAATGCCTTAATCCCACATAACCCCTTAACATTACTTCGAACAAAAAAAGCCAAAATCATAAACAGAATTCCCCAGAATTAGATCCCACAAACTGCATATATACTGAATTAACACCCCGTAGCCAAAGATTAGCAGTGGCTACAGCAGTACTCCACATTCAACAATTTAAAAATTTCAGAAAATGAAGATTACATATATAAATGCTGTAAAACCCTTGAGGCATGAATTAATGTATCAAAATCAAGAAACCCAAAAAAGGCAAAAAGGAAAATTTACCGGTTCTGCCACCAGCACCGGTAACAAGAACGGTACTTGTGTTCAAATCAGCCATGGCCAAAACTGAGAATTTGCTAAATTTCTTGTTTTTCTTTGGAAATGAAACAAGTGATGAGGTAGTTGCTAGAAGTGAGGACAACTCTGGAGGTCTATGATTTACCAAACTTAATTTATGGCATTGGTAAGATGATACACGTGTCAAGGCAGCCATTTTAATAGCAAGAAAAATTATAGTCCAATATTCAAGAATCAAGTATAGTATGTGAACTTAGAGGTGATACTCAAAAGTTAGTTTTATTTTGTTCTATTTTCCTGATTAATAGGCAGTTGGGACTATTGTACATTTTTCTTATCCATTTGTCAGATTTTCTTGTGACCAATCACCTTATCAACTTCTCATGTTTTTTTTTTTGTTTTTTTTTTGGAGAGTTGTCGTGAGGTTTTTGGAGTAGGGGTTTAGATACACAGTCTAATTATTGGGCCATCAAGTAAACCTGATGGACCGGGGTCACACTCCATTCAATTGGGCCTTCAAAAGGGTTTCAATGAGATTTTTACGTATTTATTCATAAGCACTAATCTCCAGTAATTAGCCATCTACAGATATCATTTGCTATATTACGGATTATAAATACCTTTTCTGTGGTTATAAAATGTATTTGATATATTTAAGCTATTGTATTCATGAATATAGTAGCAAAAATAGGCGTGAATTAGGGAAGTCCAGCTAATCAGTTGTTGTATTCGACTGTATTCATCGCGTGAAATATGGGATTACAGCTGGACAAATTACTGTATTTGACTGTATTCACGGCGTGAAACAGGGGATTACACTGTTTTTAAACGGAAAGTGTATCAATTAATATAATAGACTCCTAATATAACTCAACAAACTCAATTATAACACACAAAATTTGTATTTCCGGTTATAAAAAAGATTCTCAACTGAACAATACCCCAAAACATAGCAATCTTTAGAGAAATTATATAATACATCTGAATACATAAATTATATTAATTAAAAAAGCATATGAATACATTCATGGCATATAGCGAGACAGTGAATACAATGAAATACATAAAATACAACGGGATACATTGAAAAACAATGAGAAAAAGATAGAATACAATGAAATACACGGAATACAGCGAGATGCATTGAATTATAATGGAAAAAAAGACAATGAATACAATGAAATACATGAAAAAACAACGTGATACGTTAAAAATGCATTGAAATATATTAACAGAAAATCAAGTTGCTCAGCCCCAAACTATGTCGTCTTTGCTCAAGAACAAACACTAATTTCCGCCTTGTAGCCAAATAGAGCTTCTTCCGATAGTCGGCGAGTGTTGTACGGTGTCAGACGACTTCTTCTTCGCTAGACATATCGGAATTTGCTCAAAGATCTGTGGAAATTGCTTTCTGATATCGATAATGAACAACCTCTCAACTTGCAAACGTGACTTTGTCTTCCTTAACCAACCAATATGGACAATCCTGAACCTTCTTCTTCCACAAACCCAGCTTCAAACTATAAACTATTGTAACAGTAACTAAGGAACTACCAGAGAAGTGATAAAATTGGGCTATTTTAACGACCTTATAATCATTAGTGGAAGTATCATACCTAGAACCACCATAAATTTGGCTCAACCCTGCAACCTCTCTCAGTCCATGATTCTATGAAGGGTTAACGTGACAAACCGGCAGTTTCCGGAACATTTTAGTGGATGGATTCCACACACCGTTGTCACTCTAGTTGTTGAATTTTTTCAGTTGAGAAGATGCCGTAAGAAGGAGGAGGGGAGCAGAAATTTTAATGGGATGGGGAAGAGAATGAGATGTATCAATGTAGAGAGAGAAAGAAAATAGTGTAACTGAATAGCGTATTAATGGCTTAGGGCTAGGAGGTAACTAAAATTAAATATTTTGCTATAAACTTTAAAAGGTATCTATAGA